ATCGTTTGCAACGTACAGATAAGATGTGGCACGAAATTTGGTGTGTATGTGCCAGCGGGATTGAGGAACAAAGCATCAAAAATCTTGGAAAACCTAGGTGAATGATGGGCGTGCTCAATTTATTTTTCATTAATTGCGCATATGCCCGCCTAATGCCATAACGAAGGTGACGAGATCCCCAAATCATATAATGTTTTCGTAATTTTAACACGAACCTGTTCACACCTAAAATTTACTATACAGTAACATCTTTGTTCCAAAACTTTTTCTCTTTCTTAGGATCCGAAATAGCAACAACGAACCAGTAGGGGGAGACCTCCAATTGGACTACCCAGCTACTGACGCGATCAAGTGAGAAGTCATATAAGGCCTAAGGCCTAAGGCATACCTCACGCGATTTGACCAAATCGCGACCTCCACGCGACTTGGCATTCTGCCGAATTTTCTCAAATTCGTCATGGTCGGTTTTCAAATGCATAGGCGCGATGCTTTCGTAAGTTCTTGCAAACGGATCAGGTCCTGGTCAAACAGAGAGCGGTAACGACCAATTACGAACCGTCGCTTTTGTGCCGAATCGCGCAGCCACTGAAATCGCGTGAGTGCCTTAGGCCTTACATGTGTGTCATGTCCCTTGTAAAGTGAATGACAGTATCACGATGTTGGAAGCGGAAGCATTCAAAGGAAGTACAGTACGTGAAAAAGGCGTCATGGAATGAAGAAAAAATGGGGAGAGGGGGGGGAGGTGACTGTCATTGCATTGATATGCTCAAATAATCAGCGGAGGCAGGCGGTCTGCATCGCGTTTTTTTTGCAAGCGGTCAGCAGAATTTTGGGGCGCGGCCAAACCTTCAGCGGGCGGCACTTCACTTACGGTCGCATATTCTGCCAGCGGGTAGTAGTCCAGCATTTTCTGCAAGCGCTCGGCAAATAATTTCTTTCAGCAAGCGGCCAAATTTTCAGCAAGCGCTCAGACACTTTTTACGCAATTTCGGCCGTACGCCGAGCAGAGGTGAGATTCGATGTGGCAATGGCGGCATCGATGGTTTGATTACCCAAGTTTGGGGTACCTTCTTCTAGAGGAAGGTAACCTGGGCACTGCGGTCCTCCACAAAGGACCGTGCGGCCCCCAACATCCTTGCATATTCGAAAGGTCCGCGAGAATGCGGCCATTGGGCCGCAACTTATCCATAGAAAGACCGCGATACTTCTCCGAGCGTTGGTCCAAAAATTGGCCAAAGTTATTCCAAATTTCTACAAGCGGACAGCAAGAAATCAGCGAACTATTTTTCCGCTGTCCGCTTGCTCAAAATTCGCATGGCCGCCTGCCCCCGGCGATTATCTGAGTATTTGGTGGTCATGCCTGATCCTGTGAGTGAGTGAAATTTCTGTTCGATAAACTTAGCTGGTTGATGGATCTTGCTGAGAAAGGGATTGATGCATGGTCAAGTATCAGTCAGTTGTCAAGAATGTAAGATGAAAGGAATAATGAATAGATAGGAAAGTCATTAATTGAAGCAATAAATATTGTATTCGTGATAACTATGCCTTCCTATCCTTTCCTTGCCGCCAGTTTTAAGCCCCAAGAGCGTGAAGTAAGAAGAATTAGTAAATCGATTCAGCCTATATTGGTATAAATAGCTCACTAACAAAAGACCCGTTCAGAAGTTGATGCATGTGATGTTTGATTCAGATCCCATAATTTTTTCTAACATTCTGGACCACTCATAACAAATGGCTAAGCAAAAAACGCCGGAAATCAGTAAACCAAAAGCGACAATAGATTATTTTTGATATAAGCTTAGTGGCTTGCGAAGCTCGGTTCAGACCTCATGATTTTTTCAAACATTTTGGGCCGGCAAAAATTTTCTGAGCAAAAACTGCAGAAAATCTATAAATCGATAAAAGCAATCGGTATGTTTTGAACAGAAAAAGTTATAAACACACGCCTCGCATCGTTCAAATGCGTATAAAATGTGTTATACTCCTCTTGTTTATCTATCTGGTGATACTGGATTAAAGTTGTCAATAACACATTTTCCTCTGAAACCAAATCTCAATAAATACGAGAGAAACGCGCAACAAATTGGCGCGAAAGGTAGCCTATGCTGTTCTTCAGTGTTCAAAACATATGCGTCTTCATACTATTATTCAGGGCGGAAAAAATTCGATAGGCAAAAATTCAAAAAAAATCAATAAATCAATGAGGGCCACCCGTGTGTCCCGAGCAAAGAGCGCATTAACACACGCTTCCCCGTCCATTAGGCCTGCCAAATTTGGTTCAAATTACTTGGCTCCTTCTATCCCTTTTGGGCGAACATATGAAATTTTCTAAGCGACAACTGATGAAAAATCAATAAATCAGTAGGGGCATTTCGTGTGTCCCGAACAAAAGGGCTTATTAACACATGTCCCACTCCATACATTAGGTCTGCCAAACTTGGTTCAGATTTTATGACTCCTTCTATCCTTCACGGGCGAACACACAAAAAGTGGCTAAGCCAAATATTATATAGAATTGATTAATTATTAACACACATACACACACCTCACCCATGCATTATGTCTGCGAAATTGGTTCAAATTCCATAATTCCTTTTATCTTTTTTGAACGAACATACAAAATTTTTTGAGCAGAAACTGCAAAAAATCAATAGATCGATAGAGTCGAAAGGTTGGTCCCGAACAAATGGCTTATCAAAAAACACCCCGTCCCATGCATTTCTGCCAAATTTAGCCCAGATTCTAAGACTTCTTCTATCTTTTTTGGGCGAACATACAAAATTTTCTGAGCAGAAAAGCAAAAAATCAATAGATCGATAGAGTCAAACGGTGCACCCAGAACAAAAAGGCTTATTAACACGCGCCCTACCCCGTACAATACGTCTGCCAAATCTGGTTCAGATTCCATCACTCCTTCTATCTTTTTTGAGCGAACATACAAAAAGCGGCTAAGCCAAATGTATACAGTACCAGCTGGCTTACCCGGCTCCGCCCGGCTTTGTCAAAAACGACAAAGGTCACTTTCCTATCCCTGTACAATCTTTCTCTGTGCACAATTCTACATGCAATTCCCTAATCTCGCTGTGTTAGTAATCAGCATGCTCACCTACCTCCCTCAACAACCCCCAGCCCCGTAGCTCAAGCTTTGCAAAAAATCAATAGAATCAATAGAAGTGAGAGTAATTCTAAAAACTGATGGCGCTATTTGGCTATCCGGGCCCCAAAATGTTTTTGTGACGATCTTGTTCAAAGTCGGTACATGGGGGTTATTTGAGCCGCTGATGACAAATGTCGCAGTCATTTCGCGTGGCAGCGGGTAAAAATCATAAACCTGCCTGAAACCTTAGCAGGGAATTACCTAAAGTGCCGTTTCAAGAATATCGTGCTCAATCCCCACAATAAGCAATTCGTGTGGCATAAATGTTTCCCACGACCGTAATGCTTTCCTTATAGGACCGCTGCCGCGCGCGATACACACTTCGGCGGCTTTTGCCTAAGCAAAAACAGGGGGAGGGAGAATTGCCGCGTGCGTTACGCGCTGGGATAGGTTATCAGGACGGCGCTGGAGACCGCCATGCAATATGACCGTTTCCCCATTTCGTGAATATCTGGGATCTGAATTGGCCCGCAAGCGAAAAAATGTCCATTAAAACCCCGCAACTCATCATAACTTCACAACAATGCGTTATGACAGCGAGGCATCATATTCATAAGCAGTGTGCTTGTGAACCGTTACAGGTAAGGTTCTGAGCAAATCTGGAACTTCGACCCATCTACTGTACACCCACCGTAACCCAAGAAAATGCGATATCCTGCGAAATCAGCATGATATTCATGTTCAGCGCGCTAAATGACCACCCTAGACAAAGTTTAAAGCAAATCTATGTTTTCGATCCGTACCGTATAACCACCATAACTCTATGGAAAGGTCCCAATATGCAGAGAGAGTATGAAATTCGTAATCAGCATGTCAAATAAGTTCTCTGGGCCGAACTCCAGCCGAATTCATGATTTTGACTTCCTACCGTACACCCATCGTGACCACACGGGGAGTCGCTCTGCGGAGAAAGTGTGATATCTGCAATCAACATGTAAAATAATCCTTATACGCGAAGTCTGAGCAAGGTCTACGACAAAAAAATTTTGGGGCCCGGATAGCCGATTAGCGCCAAACTAATATTGTATTCGTCCAAAATTTACAAAGAAATCAAAATCGATAAAAGTAATCGATAATTCTAAAAACGAATATTGTATAATCCCCATGCTCGCTTAGCCCCCTGTGCCAACTCCCAGCCCCGTAGGCGAACTCTGCAGAAAAATCGATAAAAATTGATAAAACATCGATCGATGACGAAAGGCCCGCGGTGTATGTGTGCCAAGTTTGGTCCGGATCGGTCCAGAACTTTCTATTCGGAACATACATATAGGCGCCGTAAAACCTAGTCGCCCGCGCCGTGCCTTGAACACCAGCGTAAGCGAGCGGTCGTCGCGAACAACTGTCGTCACTATATTCCAGGAAATCTTTCTTTAGCTTTCATGTTGTTCTCGTCAATGCAAGGTACATCTTGACGAAAGCTCACTTCACATGTTTAAAAAAATATGAGTGGAAAGGGTGCGCGCTCATTGTCGCTCGCAAAAAGCCTGTAGCGCTTTGAGACCAAACGTCCCCAGCCGCGCCGCTCCTTGGTGTTCAAGCGACGCGTGGGCAATTGGATTTTACGCCTGTAGACACAGAGACAGACATACAGACATACAAACAGACTCTCAGCTTTATATATAAGATTGATGTAGAAGATTTGTGGAGAGTACAGAGCTTGAAATTTATTACCTGCTGCGCTCCTATAGCTTTCAAATTATTTTGAAGGGCACGCAATATTCGCAAATTTTTATTTTGCGTTTTGGAAACAATAGTTTCTGGAAACGCAACTACTACGGTCTGATAGCGCAAAGCTTCCTCTACATCATATACATCAAAGCGTTTCAGGATATTCACTGTGGCTGTAGTAACGAGATAAATGTGAGGACTAAAATATCTGATTTTCTCGCACTGCAGAAGCGTTTGTTTGATAAATCCAGTTACAAACACGTATGGCAAGCATTTGCAGCTAGGTAAAGTGCGATGTGTAGAGGACGATTGCAGCATATGTAGCAACATTTGGAATCAAAATCATCAGAGTAGGTTTCATGACTGACAACACTGCAAAATCGGCTCCCAGACTTTTGCCGCACCCTGTATAACATGAACATAAAAGTATCAGTGTGCGGGACCAACTATGCTAAAAGCTGAGGTTATTTTCCATACTTACCAGGTCTGTATATGAAGCAGGATCGTTAATGATCAGCTGTTGAGAAGAAAACAAATTCCTGAAGAAGAAAACGCTGGCTGCTTTCATATACTCGGTGGTTGTATCAGTTAGAAACCCCATCATGATAGTTGCCTCATAGAGCAGAGCTTCGATGTACTCCTGAAAAATATATGAATAAAATTACGTAGTTGCAGAATCCATCTCCTACTAAGCTCCCGAAAAGGGTGTTAGGGTTTTTGCATCAAGTTATATCCACGTGGAGTTTGAAGATGGAATCCACAGACGATGGTATAACATTGTGCAAAAGCAGTACCGTCTTTTTGAAGAGCTTGCTTGCACGAACGAATGGTATCGCATACACGTTTGGGATCCGTCTTGTTGCGATCATGATGAGAAAGCGAAACCTTTTTTTCCATCCCCCACATGTCTGCATATGTGTGCGAAATAGATACCACTCTTGAACCGATCGGGAGCAAACGTATACATACTGTGTCAATCACGTGCTCCCTTCTCCGCAAGCGTAATGAGCTTCGCGACGAGTTCGCGCGCGTGCTCGGGCATTAAAAATGTCTCCATCGATTGAAGGTCTGCACGCAGTGCCCTTGCGTTGCGCATGCGTATTTTCCACGTGAAAGAGAAGCAATTGACATTGACCTTACAGTTCAGGGCGGGCGTGTCGTAAACTATTGTCCGTTATAACCGATATCCGATTTCTTTTTCTGCAAACCTTTACAGCATGGTTATTACGATTCGACCCCAGATTTAGCTAATATCTTCATCGAATTTGCAACTTTGGCGAGCGGACTCGAGAGTTGGCAAAGGAAGGTAACATTGTTTGGTAAGAGGATGGCAAACGTCAAGCTAAAATACGTTGCAGGAGGGAATGACAAAGAGTATCGTAGATACCCGTTCACATGAGGGATAGGGGAGACGTTAATATAGCACATGTTCACTGACTCCTCAAGATCCTTGGGTTTCTTTCATACCGCGGCAACCGCTGCTAGCTCCCCGTAGCAGCTATACTTTGGTCCGAATTGAACTCGACTTCAGACAGATGATTTGCTTGCGAGTATTCGAAGAATCGATAATCTGGGATTCCCATGAAGAAAGTCGTATATTTGATGGTCAACAATTCGATCATTCGATAATTATGGAATAATCGAACAAGATGAGCGTAGAATGTAGGAAGATCAGACGGACATACTGTACAGGGTGTACCAAAAAATGTGAACACTGTTTGATCGTTGAAGGCAGTGTCCGGGCAAGAACTCAATTTTTAGAAAATCCACTTACGGGGCGTTCCGCAACGCTAAATCCGAAAATCGACATTGGAAGGCGCGAAAACGGCGAGAGCATGCGTTTCCCAAGCCTTACAATTTGAAATTCGACAGTCCCCGCCAACGATGAGACGCGGAGTAGCTGCGAGACCTTAGATTTTGGCTGTGGCGGTATGCGTACTCTACCGCACAGCAGGAATTCAAACAGGATTCCCGATCGTTTTTCTTGCTTTGGATAGAACATTGTAATCTCGTACTTGCGCTATGCTGTGTCTGAGGGGGGGGGGATTTTCGCATGGCACTAAAATCCCAATCCCCGATCTTGTCTGGACACTGCCTTTGATAATTGTCTTGCTTTCAAGTCCTTCAACGAGCTCGAGGTACCATTCTGTAGAGCGAGGCTCAACTTAGATTCACAGTATGGATCATCAATCACTTTCTTCATTTACTGTAGGACAATGTAAGAAAAACCAAACAAGCCAGAAACTCTTGTACTGGACCAATCAGAGTTGCTGATTCTACACATTTACACTATGGAAAAAACTATCTTCCCTCGTTACTGTAGGATTACTGTATAAACTTTCAGCATATAGCGCCATTGGGGAGTAGGCCTTTTGAGGAAAAAAATTCCAAAACCAGAAACGTTAGCAATGTACTCAGGCGTGCTGAATTCACCACATGAAATTTCTAGTTTTTCGAGCTTTGATGGTGTAATCATACTTCTGACAAAAAATATTTAGAATCAACGACTCTGATTGGTCCGGTGCAAGAGTTTCTGGCTTGTTTGATTTTTCTTAAGTTGTCCTACAGTAATGGAAAAAGTGATTGATGATTCGCTCCAAACTGTAAATCTGAGCTGAACCTCGCTCTACAGAATGGCACCTGCTCGGCCAAAGATGTGAAAGCAAGAGAGTTATTAGCGATCAAACAGTGTTCACATTTTTGGGACACCCTGTATATTAAGTTGAACCAAATTTGATATCGCATCGATTTAAAAAAAATTTGTGCCTGTATCATAAAGGCAGCGGCTGGGCAGAGTGATAAGTTTGGAATATCATCATTCTCGGTTAACTTGGATGAGCTAAGTACAAGACTCTGCTTTGCAGCTTCAAAAGATATCAATGACCTGCCTTCCCAAACGTGAAAAGTGCTACTTGGGCGGACCGCGCTACCGCCCTCTAAAGCGCGATTGGCTCATGGGTACGGTGGGTACAGTACCTCCACTCAAATGCCAATCGCGCTCTAGAGGGCACATATCGTGAATATCCCAAAGCTGTCATTCTGCCGAGCAGCTGCCTTTGAGCGACGCGTTTGCTTGCAAAAACTCTTATTAAAAACAATTCATCTACTTTGTAGAACATCTTCGACGCTCTTCGACAATAAGGGACTCCAGCGTTGAAAACTAGAAAGGAAAATCACTAAAAGTCCCAATTCAGAAGATAAATCGTCGAACTGAAGAAGAATGTGGGAGTATGTTTTTCATAGGTTTTGTGAGCTGCTCTTTCTTACATTACCAGTTTTGTGCTAATCGAGCTTTTCCGTGAGGAAGTTACGATTTTACAGAAAAATGCGAAAAAATGCATTAAAATATTCCTGCCGTTTTTTTGCAGCATCTCGAAAATCATAACTCTTCATGGAAAAGCTTGATCAGCACAAAAATGGCAGTGTTAGAAAGAGCAGCTCGCAAACCTGTAAGGAACATGCTCTCAGATTTTTCTTTAGCGTCTCAGATTTTGATTTATTCTCGAAAATCGGAACTTTGAATGGCTTTCATCTTCTAAATTTCAAATTCGGAGAGACATGTTGACAATGAGCCGCGAAGATGTTATTAGGAATTGGACGATGTGTGCAGGTGTAATTTTTGTAAGCAAATACGCTCACATAGGGAGTAGTTACGAATTTCGAAATCAAAGCCACATTGCTTTCAACCAGGGTCAAGCGTGTTGATGCGATCCGAGACCCCCATTTACGACCCCTCCCCCTTGAAGGTACCCATCCGTACGATCCCCCGCCCCATCTACCCCCCCCCCCCATTTACCCCCTTATCTCCCCTGCCCACATTCCTCGCGGAAACCTGTTAAACGAATGTCAATCTCAAAAAACATCTGCGTGAAACTTCAGTGAGGTTTCGGAAGCATAATTTCTAAGCCAATAGGTGCACCCAGCATGTGTAGCGCACATACACACCTTCAGTAGTGTTTGAGACTCTACAAGTTTTTTTTGAATTTTCAGGCATACTTCAGGCCAGCAAATTCGGTTCCCGTAGGCGAAACAAATTTTTGCACGGAGAAGAAAATGACATTTTTGAACAACAAAAGATGTTTTCGACTAAGAAGCTTACTTCCTACCTCTTCCAAATTTTTTCCCGCGAAAAAAAAAACGCTTTAGCGCCGTCCAGAACGACGTCAAAAACATGCATGAGCACGGTAGTTTGAAAATTCGTAACTAAGGCCAGGAAAAGACTGAGAGGCTGCAAAGAACAGGTTCTGTAGCATAGTGCCCAGACTATTCATAGAAGAAGTTTCAGCCCTTGAGGAGCAGTGAGCTCGAAAAAATTTAGATGCGACTCTCGCAATTTTAGATGCGATCCTGAAAAGCAAAAACTGGGATTTTTGAGCTTAAAATTTTGTAACTCATCGGAGAAATTATGGAACGGCCTGAAATTTTTAGGATATAAAGTAGGAAGATGGCCTCGTATTACAGCAAAATTGCAGCCAACAAGCTTCAATAGCTCCAGAAAAATCTAGATGCGACCCAGATACGACCCCCCTTTTGTCATTTTTTGCCACCATACATAAAATCATAAGAAAATCCGAAGGCCATAAAGTAGGACCAAATTTTGCGCAAGTGTAGTAGAGCACCTCTTAAGTACAGATAAATTGTAAGGGCCGTATTAAATGCATTACAAATAGATTTACAAATTATTGATAATTAGCGTTGACAGAGATATGCGCTTTTGTCGAGCGTGCGAGTCTTCAGTGAGCCTTCGGAAGCAGGATGTCTACACCAATCAGAAAATCCAACGTCTTTATCACACATACATGTCTTTAGCAGCCTTTGAGCTCCTAAAAGTTTTTATTTTTTGGATTTTAGTCATGCCAGCAGGGTTCGATCACCGTTTGAGATAATATTTTGCGGAAGAAATAGCGATTCCCCTTAAAAAAAGAACTAAGTCATAATCTTTCAAAAATGCAGCAAATGAAGCAAATTTCTACGTTTGCAAGTGTTTTCAAATTATTGTTTACGTTTTTATTTGATACATTGGACACGGCATTCCATGAATTTATTGTTAAGAACATGTAATAATTATTTGCCATCCGATTTCCTTCCATGCTTACGGTTATTTGATCCAAACTACCTCCTTTTACGACCCCCCCCCCCTCACCGCAGGTACCCGCTTACGACCCCCCGTTGCGACAGTCGCATCACACGCTTGACCCTGCTTTCAACCTAGTATATATTATACTTGCGAATCAAATGAAAGAGACACTGACTCGAATTTGTGCGGCCAGTTAAAAAGACGGTCTATTAGAATATTCGATTGGGCCCTATTCAGATATCTGCGTATTCAAAGATCTACATCGTGCACTCAATAATGAAAATAAAACTTTCGGATTTCTACTGGATTCAGATATCTGCGGGTCTATCGATTATCATGATCAGTGAATAGCATGGTCAGCATGGAGGCGCCAGCAAGGGAAAATATAAACTGCACTCGCACCAGTCTGAGATGCTATATCAAGAGCACAGACACGTTTAAGGTTTCCGGAGCAGAATTTACTCTAATGTTTAGTGTCTTAGATAAAGTTACCGTGCTGAACGTTACGGTCTCGATTTCACCGCAAATTTATTTCTGTTCACAATTTCTGTCAGGCTCTGCAC